CTCTCTGTGTGTGTGTGTGTGTGTGTGTGTGTGTGTGTGTGTGTGTGTGTAAAAACAATTAAACATTAGTCAGGATTAAAAAGAATTCTGACAACATAAAAAAATTAAAATATCTAAATTTCAAAAAAATAAAGGAGCAGTCCCTAGACACATCACTTAAAAGCCTGCCTCAAAAGGAACCCTTTGTTTACCCACAAATTGTTCTAGTGATACTGATTTTGATTAAGCATCCTTCAGTCTCGCGAAACTGCGATAACCTGCTCTGTATGGAGGACTTGGAACAGTGTCTAGTGTGGCTGAGAAGGCCAGTTTGAGAGTGAGAATCCCTTCCACACTGAAGACAAATCCAATCTGTCCCCTGTCCAGCTCCCTGGTTTTGCTTGTTTCGGGACTGCCTCTTTGCCTCGGCCTGCTGAACAAGTGTCTCTTCAAATTGGGAGAGGCCATGATGCACCGCCGGCCTCCAGGCTGAACGCTCAGATGTCAAGGTGTCCCATCTGTTGAGGGCCATTCCAAAGGCCTTCAGATCCCGCTTGCAGTTATCATTGTATCGCAGCTGTGGTCTCCCTCTGGGGTGATTTCCCTTCTCTGAGCCAGCAACCAGGGTGTGATCGCAGCTCCCTTGCCCTCATATAAAGTAGTGCAGTGACAACATCTTGCAAGAGCTGAAGACAGGATCTTCTTTGCTTGTTTATTCCTGATTTTTGCAACCTTGGTGTAGTTTCCTGTTCACAAGGGGCCAGAACTAGTGAGTGGGTGGAAGCAAACTGGGACAGAGGATCATTTCTTTTTAGTTAGCTTGACTGCTCTGAACTGAAGCCGTGACTCAAATGAAAGGCAGCTGGTCATCCTTTTGCTTCTAGGGGTTGCAGTGAATACACTTCCATGCCTTTTAAAGTATCTTGTGTTTGTCAACACTTCCAAAAGGCCTGTGCCAGCATGCCTTCCGTTGGCCTGGCTCCCTATCTGAGTAGGGACTTATGTGAATTCACTCTGCTGTTGAATCTGTTTCAGGGCTTGGATCCAAGCAGTGAAAAGGTCGTGGTGAAGTCAGAGTGTTGGTGTTGTCCTTCAAGAGTTAGCAGTTCATGGAACACACAACTGTAATGTTACTTTCCAACCTCACACTGGTAGAAACACCTTAGGACAGTGGTCCCTAGCCTTGGACTTCAACTCCCAGAAATCCTGGCCAGCAGAGGTGGTGGTGAAGACTTCTGGGAGTTGAAGTCCAAGAACATCTGGAGGCCCAAGGTTGGAGACCACTGCCTTAGGATACCTAGATTACTTTCAGTCTTTACTGAAGCCTTTTCACAGCCTCTGCCTCAATTCAGTTCCCCTTGTGTATATGCTCATGTATCTGTATAGTGTCTCCCTAACCAGATGAAGTCTGCTGTGCTTGCAGTAAAATGTAGTTTTCATTTCAAGAGTTCCACTTGTTTTCAGTGCCCCGTGGTGACGGGCACCCATGTTAAGTCAGCAAGAGGAATAGGATTTTCTTTTGCTCAGCTTCTCTTCATCCTCCTCCTGCTTTTCCATGTTGCTTTGTTGAGAGTAAACAATTTCATACCCCCAAATCTTTCTTTGTATGTATTTGTGAAGGCTTTCACGGCCGGGATCTAATGGTTGTTGTGAGTTTTTCGGGCTCTTTGGCCGTGTTCTGAAGGATGTTCTTCCTAATGTTTCGCCAGTCTCTGTGGCCGGCATCTTCAGAGGACAGCACTCTGTTCTCTGGTGTAGTTGGCTTGGGAGTGGAGTATTTATGGCTGTGAGATAGGCTTTTGTCTTTTTCTGTAGATGGGTGATAGATGCCGACCACAGAGACTGGCGAAACGTTAGGAAGAACAACCTTCAGAACACGGTCAAAGAGCCCGAAAAACTCACAACAATCACTTTCTTTGTATGTTGGCATTAAGAGAGTGAGAAGATGGGGTCGATACTACTGCTTCTCAGCCTTGGACAGCAAAGTCATTTCATAGAATGATGGTAAAATAATCGCCACCCTCCAAAACGTACCATTTCAGCAGAGAAGGAGATGGCAGGGGAAGAGAGAGACGACTAAGGAGGCCCATCAAACCATAAGAGTCCATAGTGTATGTACTTGAAACTTTGTCACATCTCTCTGGATGCTTACTTGGCTTTTGGGGGTTGGGGGAATGGATTGCATGGTGCTACTGATGTACTCTTCAGACCTCAGGGAAGTGCAGAGTCTTAACTGTTCATCCTGTCTGGCCATCCTGCATAGAAAGACAATTCAAGTATGTCCTCAGCCTCATATATTTCCAGTAACACTTTTGTACGTATGGATGAATCTGCTTCAAGAGCATAGATTGCATATGAGTGCTGTTTTATCGAACAGTGTGTGTGCAGCATCCAGGCCTACTAAAAGCGGGTAGACACATTGGTAGAGTATTTTTCAACAAAGGTCTTCAAGATACTCTGACTCCACTGTTCCAGGCAGTTTTGATTCTGGATTTTTTTTCTTACAGATCCTGAAGGTTGTAGCTTTTTAACATTTCTGAGGGGAGCTTCCTTATTGAAGCTTTTGGAGGTGTTGCAGTCCAAATCCATGTATTGCTTGCACTCATGGATATACTGTGTTTCCCTGAAAATAAGACAGGTTCTTATATTAATTTTTGCTTTAAAAAAAGCATTAGGGCTTATTTTCAGGGGATGTTTTATTTTGCAGTCATGCCATCTTCTGGTTGCTGCACAATGCTGCACAATGGTGGAGGGTGGGGTTTCATTTAACTAGGGCTTATTTTTGGGGTAGGCCTTATATTACGAGCATCCTGAAAAATCATACTAGGGCTTATTTTCAGGTTAGGTCTTATTTTCAGGGAAACAGGGTAGCAAGAATGGTTCTGTTGCCAGTGAACATAAGAGATCTACCAGGGAAGACCAAAGGTCTGTCTAGTCTGGGGCTTGGAAATACTACTGCCTATGCTGACTGGGATTCTGGAAGCTTTAGTCCCAAAC